GCACCTCGATTGTACATGAAGAGGCTGTTGAAGAATACCTGTGCAAAAATGTTGAAAAATTATGTTTAAAAAATGCCGTTATGTATTACGAGCAGCTTCTTGCACAAGATCGTTTCACCGCAGAAAAATCTTCGGTAATTACTGAAGAATCGATGCTACTAGCAGAAGACATTTACCAGGTTACGTTACAAAGTCTAGCCGAGAAAGAGTTTGTGACGGACGAAGAATTGATTACGTGTGATGAAATCAATTACGACAACGCTTTCGAAGAAGTTGAAGGGTACGACTCTTCTGAAGATTACGAGCCAGAGAACATGTTAGAAATACAAGAGATGTCGATAACTTTTGGATATGGCTACAGCCATCTATTGTGTTAATAATATAATCTTGCGGTTCCATGAACGAATACTAGATGGCAGGTCGTTTCCGCCTAGTAACTATTGCAGGCGGACGCGCGAGCAACGCAACGCACCGAGTTCCGCTCACGCTAGCATCACGTGACAAGAGGGCGAGTGGAAGGGATGCGCAAGCACGAACGTGCAGAGAGACGATCCCGGCCATTCTCGACTATTCGGTCAAACGTGAGACAGTTCGAGTCACGTATCGGGTATTCTGCCACTAGAATCTTTTATCGAGAACATGTTCAAGTTCTGTTCAATACTTCTCGCTTGTACCGTACCAATTATTCAAGGTATATTATTGCCCTTGTCGTTGCTCGTGTCGTTTTCAACGCTAATATCGTCTTTAATGCTTGTGTTGTATCAATCGCTCATGTTGTAATGTATTTCGGTGCCGTGAATTCTTACACGAGTCCGTAAAGATCAGTTATTATTCAAATTACGAAGAACGTGTTCGAACATGTAAACGAAGAAAGAAGAACGACGTGTATTCCGGGCTCAGCCGAGCCTTTACTTGACGGTGGACATTCGAGCGATATATATTGGAAATCAAGAGCGGCCATCATTAACTTCGTTCCTTTCACGTGGCGAGACGAAATAGCCGCCATTATTCTGATTATTTGGCTCGCTTACAGCGAATGAGTTTCCCACTCTCAGTGGATGATTTTCCGTACAAATAAATGTCGGATTATCTATGATTAATTGGTGGATGCTGCAGATTCCACAATAAGGTAACATTTGGATTTATAATATCAACTATTCGGTTCTTTCGTCAGATATTTCCCTGATGAAAGTGATACTTTACAAGTGAGCACGTGTTAATTCGAATATTCGGTTACAGGATATAACGTTATTTTCCTATGATTATCCTCAAAGAAGGATTCTCACGATTAATTCTGATTAATAAGAAAAGGAGATAAATTCTTATCTCGGGACGTAAATTCAATGGAATTCCAATTAATACTTCTCATTGATGCGCATACAAGGATTAAAGTTATCCTGAAGTTACATTCCTTGTGTTTCATATATTAAGACTTATATTTCGTTTACTTTATAAAATTCTCTAGCGTTTACTGTATATAATGAACGTGAAGTTAATTCGATATATGATTACTGTTTAAAATAATACCTCGACTACTCGATACGTTCTAATAACAATTCTGAACTACGCGAACGAATAAGTTCTTTTGCTCAATTACATTATGTAAAATTATTGTTGCGATCTTTCCGTATCTCTTTCGATTAATTCTAAGGATATATGCTTCAATTATTCACTGCATTTATCAACGTATATGGAATAATTATATTTACTAATTGCAAGAAAGAAGTTTCAAAGTTTATCAAAGGGACAATTCCTACCAGACAGTTAAGTTATAATATTATCTAATTAGTTCCTACAGAATTCTTTTATTTATAATACTTCTCATTTTCAGATTTAACGTATTCAGAAATCTTTGGTTTCATTATTCCATACTCGTTATCTTAACATGTATTAATTGTATTATCCTCTTTATATGAGTCTTGTATTTATTATAATTGATGTGTTTGCCTCGAAGATATTCCCTTGCAAAATTTCTATAAAAGGAAGAGACCATTTATTTCATTTAATCATTCAGAATATTTAATACATTGAATATTCGTTCATACTTTATACCTTGAATTTATTTGAAACATTTCGTAAAGAGATCTCAGACTTAACTTATTATTGGTAATAAGGTTCTGTTAAACGAAGGGAATATTTTCTTTAAAATATTTTATATTATCTATGTACAATTTTGTTTATGAATACTGAGAAGGTTTTAGGGCAGTTTCCCTTCTCCTATGCAACAAATGTTGGTATTCTTTATATAGTTCTGCCCACTTTCAACTTTTCTGGATTACGCACTCATTAAATCAATTGTTCTATTTTTTATTTTGAATATCGTTTCTCCTTCTCCACCATCCTTAGCTCACGCAACATACGAGGCGTGTACAGAACAAAAAGTCGAAAATCCAGGACTATCAAAATATTCCATTGGATTACAAAATAAAAGTATTAAATATTGCTAAATCTCATCCGAGTTGGAGTCTGAAAAATCTACAAAAAAAAGGATGTTCCCGATTAAAACGTATGGAGGATTTGGCGAAATGGGAAAAACATATTAAAGATGGTGGAACCATATTCGACAAATATGCGATTATCGACTCGTGGACATATGATCGCTTCACAGAAGCTCGGCAAATCCATCAGCAAGTAACGACAAGAAACTTGCAGCAGTGGGCTTTATCTGCTGCAAGTCAATTTAAAAATTTGGATTTTAAAGCTTCCACACGCAGAAAAATGCATTAGTTGCAGTAACCATAAAATATTGGTAACTCTTTTTTGGTTCCGGTTACTGTACGTTTTGTTGGGAGTACTATTAATGTTTAGTTGTCAAAGGGTATAAAGTTTGGTTGGCATTATGAGGTAACGCATACCAAAATGTATGGTATGAAGCCGATCTCAACCAAACAGTTTAGTACAAGCGAATTTGCCGCCGCGCGCTTCAGCGTCGCACGAGGCACGCTGCTGCGCGACGAGACCTCTTGTGTAGAGGTTAGATTGACATGTAGACTGTGCGTGTGTCTTGCGACTCGCGTTCTGCGTCTTATGTAGATAGGCCTTTATAAATATACTTTTTTCATAAATATATTTACGAACACAATATTTCGTAATGAGCCGACACTGCACTGGTTTCTGACATTCACCCGACAATATAAGAAATATTATATCATATATCCAATTCAAAATTTTATTACTCTTTTTAAACTGCATTTGTTTCTTAAGATGATTTTTGAAAAATTATATATTTGCGCTGGTTGACATATGTAAACTAAATATAACACTAACATTAAATTAAGAAGTGGTCTACCACGTAAGGCAGTTGGCTCACGATCCAGAGGTCCCGAGTTCGAATCCCACCAAGGTAAGTGTGTTTTTATATGTGTTTTTAAATACGAGAAAATATTTATAATCATAGACTGCATCTTAAGAAACAAATTTAGTTAAAAAATAGTAATAAAATTTCGAAATAAATAATTTTTTTTTGTTGGGTGAATATTTGTTACCAACCATAAATTATGGTACTCCACACTAGTTTGAGTTTAGTAATGACAACTAAATTAATTGGTTATTCTTCAATACAACCAAAAGTGTGTTAGCCTTAACCAAAAATTCGTCAACCAATTATTTTAGCTGTTACAACCAGCGTGTTTCATTGGGCCATATACAACCAAAAATTTCTGTTGTTTTAACCAAATTTTTGGTTTTCACAACCAAACACTTTTCTGCGTGCAATTCGTGGGTTGAGCGATTCGAACGAAAACATCGAATTCGCCAACGAAAGATAACGAAATATGTGTCCAAAAGAGAAAGTGCAACAATAGAGGAAACCTTAGCTGCTGCGGAAAATTTTCGCATACAGACTCGTGACCTGATATCAAAATTCAATCCCAATTTTGTCATCAATACTGACCAAACAGGTATTTACAAAAATTTCATTTTTTTTTATGACTCATGTAGCAAAAAAATATTTATAATAAAGAGATTTTAAATATTTGCTAAATATTTATATGTCCAGGATTTATTATACATATATCAAATACACTTTCATATAATTAATATGGTGAATTTAAAAAAATATTTTTCAGGGTGCCAATATCAGTCCACCTTTAACAGAACACTCGCAAACCAAGGATCAAAGGTAGTTTTTGTTCAAAGGCAGAACATGAATAAGATGACCCACTCCTACACAGCGCAGTACAGTGTCACTCTATCTGGGAAATTGTTACCCCTAGTTTTTGTGTGCCTACAAGAGCCACCAGGTTCATTTGGACCCAGAGTTCAGAAATCGGTGGACGAGTATGTCCAAAAATATCGTAACGTCGTCGTCACATCGTCGAAATCGGGAAAGCTGACAACGAATTTATACAAAAATTTTTTAATTAAAATTGTAAAGCAATACGTGGGAGAGGAAAGGTTTCTCTTACTCGTCGATTCTTGGGGAGGACAGACCAAGCCGGAGATGTACGATGAAATTTTTTTAGACGATAAGCGTCTGCCAACATGCATTGTTAAATTTATTCCCCCGAAATGTACCCCTTTGGTCCAACCTTGTGATGTATATTTTTATAGACAGGTAAAAAATTTCATAAAGCGTCTTCAAAATTGCGCCTACTTGATCGAACAAGAACGCGAAATTAATTCCCGAGAAGATTGCATTAAAATTCAATCTATTGCACATCACCAGCTGTTCTCTCCAATCTTTAAGAACATGATTCGATACGCGTGGTTCGCTTCAAACCTTTGTGATGACAGAGACATTTTTATGAACGTCAATGAAGTATGTTTTCCAATAGACATTTTAAAAAAACCTTGCGCCTGTAAAATATCTGCGTTCGTACGGTGTGCTAGATGCCGTGAAACTTATTGTTTCCCTTGCTTTTACGATAAATATCATCCTGGTTCGTGCAATATTGACGTGTAAAACGACTGTATACAATATATTTTAAACTATATATTTCATATCATATAATTCACTTTTAAAAATTAAACAATATTTTTATTAATATCATTTTTGCGCTGTATTTTCTCGTAATTT